CCACAGCGCCCGGGGTCGTAGTAGTGGCGGCCAGCGGCTCATGAATCAGGCGGGTCATGAGGCTTGCGGCGTAATGTCTGTCATGAAAGCCCTAAAATGAACGAAAAAGCTTTGGCCTAAGGGCGCAATGTTCGAATGCTAACAATACTTGATTTCCAAAGCTTTCAGAACCTAAATGAAGCTTAAAGGTGTTCAGAAAAGGGCTGTATACCAGTTCCAAAACTCTCCTATTACCCGATTCTTTTTGAAGACTTTCAACCACATTACAAGCAGAACCAATGACGTCACGGGAGGGCGCGTCTCGGCCGTCTTCCCAGCCGACAGCTACCGGTGACTCTATCGCTATGCCTGCCGGAGGCGCCGGCCGGTAAGGGCCGCGGACGAGGAGCCGGTGAGGCGGAAGCCCCGCACGCGGTGCACGGGGCAGCAGCCCCACAGCTGCCGATCGCCCGGCACACAATAGCCGCAGTCACGGGACAGATGAGAGACAGCTGCTGCCGACGGCGACAGATAGGCCGCATTCCCATCGTCACTCCGACAACTGGCGCGGGAACATCCGAAAAGAGCACGCACCTGGGGCTTGTGAGAAACCTCAGTGAACATCACGCCGCCTAACTCAAGGATACAGACACAATAGCGTAACAAAACTCGACAGACAGCCTCAGCAGTTGCTGAGACACTGCAGTCTGCGTCCCGAATATTGACGGCCTGTCGACCTGTGCTCTGGTTGTGGCCGGCCCGCGCCGGTCTGTGTTCGTGAGTCCTGTGCGGGCCTGTGTTTACGGTGTGGCCGGCCTACACGGGCCTGTGTTTACGGTGTGGCCGGCCTACACGGGCCTGTGTTCACGGTGTGGCCGGCCTACACGGGCCTGTGTTTACGGTGCGACCGGCCTGCGCCGGTCCGTGTTTGCGGCGTGGCCGGCCTGCGCCGACCTGTGTTCGCGGTGTGGCCGGACGTGGCCTACATGGCCGGTGGCGGCGCGGCGCACTGCAGTCACGCCCCGTCGGCCACGCCTCGGCTGCGTCGCGTCGCGGTCACGGTCACAGCGGCACCGGCCGACACGCTCAGTCACGCTGACGCCGGCCTGAGCCTGCGGCGAGCGGCTCATGCCGACACAGCCGTCACAGGCGTCACAACAGTCACAGTGGTCACAGTGGTCACAGTGGCCACAGCGGTGGCGGCGGTGGCGGCGGTCGGCGGCGGTTAAGGCGGTCACGACGGCTGGGACGGTTACAGCAGCGGCGCACCGTTCTGCTGGGTTCTGTTGGATGGTATGGGATCATGACGGCCGATTTGAAAGGTCAGGCTATACCGGGTTACGTGACGTGGACCTCATTAACTGCCATCCTGTAACACACTTGCTATTTTAGTATTGCCTATGAGGCATCGGTTGTGCTAAGAGGTCATATCGGGCCCAGCTAAACCGTAGGTCACCAGGGGTTACGGCACGACATTGCACAATCCCATTCTGACAGCATGTCGTGCTCACGCGAGGTGCGGTGGGGCTGCAACATGTCATCAAGTCACGCCGTGTGTCATGCCATGTCAGCCGGCCGGTGATTGGGTGATTCAAACCACGTGTCATGCTAGGTCTCATCAGCTCTATGCACTGTGTAATCACACGCTGTAGGTTTGACGTTATGGAGCATTTTAGGAACACCTTACACGAATCGGCCAGAACACATGCCTTTTGCTTCGTATCGACGGCTAAGCTACGCGATGACCGCGCGGTCAGCGAAGACAGTTGAGAAGGATGGAAAAGAACGAAACAGAATCGATGCATCGCCTACAAATTCGCTGCTGCACATCCGTCAAAGGCGCTGCAATGCCGCCGTTGGTGCAGACGATAGACAGACGCTACTCCTGGCGCCGGATGGGCAGGGCACAGCGCTACAGCAGCTGGGACTCGCAGTCCCTTCTAAAGTCCGTCGCCGAGGGGAGAATCCCTGGTGTCCGTGTGGGATGATCTCGCTCGCATCGTTTCGCGAAATCGGAGTGAGGATTAACACCCTCTGTGCGACTGTCAGGTCTTCGAGTTCCCGTACCTCTATATCCCGCCGAACCTGCCGCAGGACAGGGCCCAAGTCCTGCGGCAGCACTTGGACCCTGTCCTGCGGCAGCACTTGGGCCCTGTCCTGCGGCAGCACTTGGGCCCTGTCCTGCGGCAGCACTTGGGCCCTGTCCTGCGGCAGCACTTGGGCCCGGATGGACGTTGATGGACGCGTCTATCAGAAGCGTCTATCAGCGTCTATAACATCAAGTGGTGGCGGTGGCGGCGACATAAGAGTTTATGTGAGAATGTGGCCACACGGACGGGAGGCCACACCACACACAGAACCTGCCGGAGGACTGGGCCCAAGTATAACACACATGCTTTTGATATTGCGTTTCTAAAGATGAGGTAATCCCAAGGCGGGCAGAAAGTCGGGAGGCTGCAGGCTTTGCTCGCGCGCGGTGTGCTGGAAGCTACATCCGTGGATGACTGCCGCTGGAGAGGCGAATTGTAAAAGCTGGGCTGCAGGATCACAGCTTGCCTTGCTGGACTCGGGTGTTAGCTACGCTGACTTCACTGCTGCACATACTTGGGTTTATATGAGAATAGCGTGCCGTGGACATGTGCAGGACATTCACGCCTTTGCCGTATTGTATTGTGGTCAAATAAGCTATGCATGTCCTTAAAAATGTCTGAAGAAAAAGCGCGGTTATTTAGCGCCCACCTGACGTAAAAAAACAATGATTGGGAGTCACAATGGGCTAGAGATACTCAATGGTAAAACTTATCGAAATGATCCAAAGTAGCATCCCGGCGTGGCCAGTGCACTGAACCCGACTCACGGCTCACTGGTTCGCTGAACCTGGAAGCCGCTAGCGGTGTAGCGAGCTGTAACCCTCTCGAACGGTCCGATCGTCACGGAACGCTGCATTCAGCTTGAGCGCCAGCCGGCCCAGCTGATGTCAGGGATGGGCGGCCTGACATCACCCTGAGGTCCTGCGTGTCTGGCGCGTCCCCGACAGTCGGCCCAGCGTCCCCCAGCTGATGTCAGGGATGGGCGGCCTGACATCACCCTGAGGTACTGCGTGTCTGGCGCGTTACCGACAGTCGACCCGGTGTCCCCCAGCTGATGTCAGGGATGAGCCGCCACACCTCGCTTTGAGGTCCTGCGTGTCTGGCGCGTTACCGACGGCCGGCCCGTAACGGGGCGGGCGAGCAGGATAAAGATGGTCGCTGAAAACACGCGCTATGCCAGGCTCACAGGCCGCTGATTGCTTTGGCAGTTGGGCCGAAATGGATGGCCGCCGCCCAGTTTGGCCGGTACCGGGCCGGCCGGCGAGCACCGAGGTTCACACGGCCCAACAGATGCTCAGTTCCGGTGGTTAGACGCGCGAAATGACAGTGTCCCAGAGTAGCACACATAAGGCATCGACTCACAGGCAGGTGGGACATGGACTGGTTCCGTCGCCGGCGTCCGGCTGCTCGCCCAAGGCTCAATCGCATTCAGTTCAACAGCGAGGAATTGTCTGCGGTTTGTTCTGTCAGTGCAGATATCACTGCATTCCAGGAAGCTGCTGCCGCGTCCAAGCGTGAGCTCTAGACGGATTCGAAAGACACAGCTTATGTACTATTGGCCAATGCCATGGGACTAACCTGACCTCACTGAACTGAGGTTTACTTGACTTTGACCTGATTTGGATGGTTATCGCTGCCAAATTTTTGAAGTGTGCCATTCATTTGTTTATTTATTTGCCTGATTCTAGCATTTGTTGAAAGATGCAAGCACGTATACCATTGCAAAGTTCTGATGTTAACTTTTCTGGGGCCGTGACAAAAACTGGAGAGTGGTGGGAGCGAGGGGGGTGGATGATAAACACCGCCTCCACTTGTCAAGGCTTGGCTAATCCGTTCCAGCAGCGAGTTGCCATGACCCAAATCAACATTTAACAATAGCTGCTCGGCATACAGGAAAAAATTGCCAGTTTTGCGACTGATATGGTTTCTCCTCAACCAGTGATAAATACAGTTCCCTTTTGCCTGACTGCGAAAAGAAGCTAGTTTATACCGAGACTACAACTGTGCCATTGAATGGTCCAGATCTTAGCGTCGAACCTTGCCCAATGCTCCCGTCGCTTAATATTAATGAAAGCTGCTCTGTGAGAGAAGGCGAACCAGCGACCGACGAGACGCGCTGCGTCCGCCGCCAGCCGGCGCCGGGGCTGCCCGCGCCGTTTAGCGCGCGTGCGCCGATGCGTGAGCCGTACAGTGGCGGATGTCCAATGACCTGAGAGGCGGCGCTGTTTTTGCTGCTGGGCAGCCGCTCGCCGGCTGTTTGTTAATGAGCAGGCCAGACAGACGGCACGCCGGCCGATACCCGCCGCCAGATGGAATGTCCGGCACGTGAGAGCGGGACGTCCAGACGGCCTGCTGTCGGGTCAAGCCGGCACGACGGCGGTCCGACATGCCGTCCCCCTAGCGATGGCGCCGGTTCGACATGCCGTCCCTCCAGCGGCGCGCCGGTCCAACATGCCGTCCCTCTGGCGGCGGCGCCGGTCCGGCGTGCCGTCTCTCCAGCGGCGGCGCTGGTCAGACGTACCGTCTCTCCAGCGGCGGCGCTGGTCAGACGTACCGTCCCCTCAACGACAGCATATTTTTTACCAGCCTCTTCCTATGAGCACACTCACATCATGGCCAACATGGCCGGGCCATGCTAAATAAGCTCAAAAGAGGAGAGGCAGCCGTCGCCGTGTTAAGCTCCAATCTAACATACATGAGATGGGTAGGTGGGAGTGGAGGCTGTCGTGGAAACGATACCATGCTGGATTAAATTATCAGAGATCGGTGGCTTATGGCATGATCAGTGGGCCGAATTTAGTCGTGTACAGCTTTAACAGCTTCAATCAACTTTTCATCGCACAAACGAACATGGTAGTCATGAGAAGATTGTGAAGCTAACCATGTTCGTGAGAAGCCGACTAACCCCGCGTGTGGCCGGCTCTGTTGCAGTCGCTGACGGAGGAGGACGGCGAGTGGGGCGGCTACGAGGGCGGGCGCTCCTCATCCGTCATCTTGCACGACCGCATGATCACCGAGGCTAGCCTGCCGGCGAGCTGCCGACCAGAGAACTCCGGCGACGCCAGCCAGGCCCCGCTCATAGCCGTCAAGATAGAGGACGGTGGGTGTCGCACTCAAACTGTGCGCAGGGAGATACCGGGGAACGCGCGGCTGGACGCACGGTCACCAAACTCCTCAGGGAGGCCCCGGGGACGCTAGGCGGGACGTACGGTCACCAGACTTCACGGAGAGGCCCCGGGGACGCGCGGTCACCAGGACTCCGAACGTCACTGGTTGGCGTGCTGTATGTGGTGTTTGCCCGCCTCTTGCAATCCCCCAGAGTTTGGCAGGGTGTCCTCCTTGGTAACTTAGAGGGCCCCAGTCTCACCAACTTTTGTCTGAGTGCATTTAGTCTTTAAATATATCGTCAGTCGCAACACATTTTCCTTAGATTCAACGTCATTCGCTATCATAGAGCAGCAAAGTGAAGTGAACTAGCAAAACGAATGACACCAGGTAACACATAGGAATAAGCCGCCGCAACTTGTAATGCATGAAGGAGAATGAAACTGAAAATGCTTACCGCTAGCGGGCGTGTTTTTGAAACCGGTAACGGACCATCATAACGCATGGGAACGTTGGTAAAGTTGGTGTAACGTTGGTAACGTTGGTAACCATCACAACGTTGGTAAAGTACCATTGATTTCTTGGTATAGCCTCGCACCCTATCGGCAATAAGGCACATACATAAACACTTAATGTAATTGAGCAGCACACTGCACGAAACTGAGTATCGCGCGGGTGTGATGCGTCGTACGTTGCCACGGGGACGTTGACTTGTCCAAACCCGTCACATTGAGCGTATCGCGCGTGTTGCTAGTTCTGCTTAGTGGACCACTCAGCCCTGGCGCCAGCGGGTGCTGGCCACCTACCGATCCTGCCGTGAACGGCACCACCATTGATGGCGCGATCCTGCCGTCAACGGCACCACGATTGATGGCGCGATTGATTCCGTGTAGGGTCGTGTGCCGCAGTCGGCCGGGCACAGGAGCGTGCCATCGCGCCGCTGCAGCCGGTGTTTGTGAAACGCGCCGGTGCCCACCCCCGCCCCAGCTGAAGCGGTGCCTTATGGCGAGCCGGCGTCCGATCAATATCCACATGACGTACGAGTGTGCGCGAGCGGCGACGAGATCAATATTAGTGGCGGACAACCGCTGAAGGAAACCGTACCAGTGCCCCGCACGTGGGGAGCACCGTCCTCCGCACTTCCACCATGCTCCCGGCAGTGCTGATGTCAAGGCCGAGCCAACAGCGGCGACCTGACGCCGCCGCGGGGCACGACCGCCCCCAGCGCCGATTGATATTCGATAGCAAGCTCCGCTGTCGCACAACCCAGACCCGTCAATGTTCGTTATTGTGAGGGGCATTGCTGTGAATCGGCTGGTGAGCAAGTGCTGCTGATCGACCTAAAGCACGGCTGCGGCAGCGGGGTCTGACCCGTGACCGGTCGGCTGCCAGCCTGACCCGTGACCCAGTCGCCCGAAGCTGGAACCTGGGTCGCCGATCAGCGGGCCCTCCAGACGAGGCCTTCAGGCCGCGCGTTAAAATAATTTCATGCTCGCCTATAGCTTGCATACTTCTGTGGGCTTGTGCAGCACACCCGCGGTTTATTTTTCTTAACTGTGGGTCTACCGGATGCTGACTAAGCATACTCGGCCTAAAAGCCTGCAGCTTTCTCTCAAACGAGTTGCAGGCAGCCCTGCATGTTGCTGGGCGGCCTGCTGGGAGCAGTTCCGCGGGTCAAGTGCCGATGCGTGTCAGACAGCTCCTCTTATTGCTAGTTCTGCTGGGAGAAGTACTGCGGGTCAAATGTCGATGGGTGTGAGACAGCTCCTCTTGTTGCTAGTCCTTCTGGGAGCAGTACTGAGGGTCAAGTGCCGATGGGTGTCAGCTACCGGGCATCGCCGTGCTGAACACAACTCTATGGACTATGATTCGGTAGCAGCCAGTGGTTCGTGGGGGACGAGGGGAGATTTGGGCGTCCAAACCTGCCACACAGCTGAGCAGGCGCGCAGCTCTTCACAAGCTGCGGATGTGGCTCGTGAGAACGTACCGGCTCTTCTCCTCGCTTGCATGTGAGGAGCGCGGCAGTGATGGCCGGCGCGCACGTCCAGCGACCGTGCTGGCCTTGTCCGTGAAGTGAGAGGCGAACGCCGCGGCAGGCACAGTGCAGACGTGCCCCCCCCCCCCCACCCCCTCTACCGGTGACTGGCAACTGCCGGGAAACCCGGCCCAGCTTTTGGATTTACCTTCTGTGGGCAACGCCGTGCGCTAGTCTCAGGCTGGGAAGAAGGAAGGCCACGTCAATGAGGTAGAGAGCCGAAACACCAATCACCGAACCACCCGCCGCCGACCAACCACCCGGTTCCACAACATTAGTGCTACAACACAAACTCCTACAACACAAACTCCTGCCGGCAGGAGTGCTCCCGATATAGCTTCTGATGCCAATGCACATACACGACATAAGTACTACGCGACAAAACCTAGACACATAAAGACATAGAGACATCTGGCCGACAAGGAGCCAAAGAGGCCCATCGAGGTTAGCCTTTTCAGGTTCCCCGAAGAGTTCCTCCACGTTCCACTCATCCTTGAAACTAATCTTACCACCTGACCTGTATGCATGTAGCGATAAATAAGATCTTTAAACCGCCAGAACGTGTCCAAACGTTTTTAAGTTCTTGCTTTAGAAGGACTTTCTACAGCTTCGTTTGACAGCCCATTCCAATGGTTTAATACTCTGACTGAATGACGCCTGCCTCTTCATAGTTCCATTCCTGCCTTTTGCTTATTTAAACTGACTTCCTCTGCCTAATTCCAATGCTCCTTGTAGATCTGCCTCGTCTGCCCCTTTCATAATCTTGAATGCCTCTATCAGATTCCCTCTAAGTCTACGATATTTCAGTGAATACAAATTCAAGCACCTACCCTTATGTTCTAAGTCCCCAGTCTAATTTGTCGTCCTAGTTGCTTTTTGCTGTGCTCTTTCCAGCCTATCTACATTTTTTTTAAAACATTGGAACCAAGCCTGTAAAGAATACTCTAGGTGTGGTCTGACATAACCCAAGTACAACTTTTTGACAACACCGCTACTTTTGTGAGGGACAATCCTGTTAATAAGTCTCAGCACCCAACGTGCCTTGCCCGTAATAGTCCCACATTGTTTTTCAGCTTTTAAATGCCTAGAAATGATAACTCCTTAGCTCTTTTTTCAGCTTCTAAATGCCTAGAAATTGTAACCCTCTAGTTCTTTTGTTCCTCGATGTGGTGCAGCTGATGTCACTCATGCTGCAAAAGTTTATATCCGTCGTTACTTCTACTGCAACTTCTTACACACCCATTACTTATAAACGCCATTTCTTCTATTGCAACACCCTACACAGTTATTACTCCTGCATGCCATTTTTCCTATGCAAAGCCCTTTACGCGACATTAGTGCTGCGGTAAAGGCTTGTGGTGAGGTCTTCGCTGTAGAAAAAATGACTGGCATATGGTTTTGCAGCACAAGTTGTGTCGTGTACTGCCCACGTCCCGTGTAAGTCATGGCAGTAGAACTAATGTCGCGCATTAATTAAGTCTGTATAAGCCTTTGCAGTAGAAGTGATGCGAACAACTGATGTCGTAGCAGTCCTGGTGGGTAGGGGTTTCTGTCGTAGCACTAATACCGTGGCACACAACCACCCGCCGGCACATGGGTCACGGCCCTCCAGCACACACCGATCACACACCGTTCACCGACCCACCAGCCGCCGACCCACCAGCCGGCGACCCGCCAGTCGCCGACCCGGCCGGGGAGCCGGGCCGGGCCGCAGCCACATTCGCTGCCGTCACGCAGCGGGCGGCGTGTTTTGCCGCCGCGCAAAACATGCCGCCAGACCGGGCGCTATCGCGATCGTTTTCCCGCCGTGCGCCGGCGCCGCCACCCTGACGCCCCTGTATATAGGCCAGAGCTGTGACGTCACCAGCTGCAGACGTTGGGAAGGGGGAGGGGAGGGGAGCGTCCCTTCACCACCGGGGCGCCGCCCTGGATGTCCCAGTTAGTACGCCGCTGAGCGAGGAATAACGGCGGTTTTTTGCCTGGATTCAGAATAAAGGGGAGTGTTCCGTATTTATATGTGGTTTTGAACTGAAATAGCCATCTTAAAGGACCTTTCAGTACTGTTCACAATCCTGCCCTTCTTAAGAAATAAGCCTCTCCAGTTTCTAAGCTACGCGAGCACGAACATGGAGAAAGGCATAGCTAGGTGAGCATTTCAAAGTCACCTTGGCTTTCATGACGTCATGATTACGCCATTCATATCCTGTCATTCCATAAGCCATGCAGCGATCAAGGCCAACACAAATAAAATTGTCGAGGCATTCACGCCTGGTGTTCGTGAGCGCGATTTCCAAATATAGCGGGCGTCAATTGGTTCTCAATCAATGTTGTGCAAGGTACAATGACGTAATGAAACCGCAATGCATTGAGGAGCATATTTACTAAACAGATAATTACGCCGTCTAAAGCAACTTTTCCACTTAAAAGCATGCCAATAGCTATAAGCAAGCTTGTTTCACCATATTTGATGCTTGCTTCAATATCTTCAAATGTGAAGCCTTCCCTTAACGCGCTTGACCGGAGCTGTAACGTGAATGGGCCTCAGCATTGGCAGGGGTGTGCTGAGTATGTGAGGCCAAAAGTGATTATGAATTGAGTAGGATTGGGAGAATGGGCAGTCGGAACCCTGGCAAGTTTTTGTGACGAATGCCGTCGTTAAATTTGCCCTGATATGTCTAAACTCTTATCCGCTTATTAGAAGACCAGCAATGCTTCGCCTATCCATAACAAAATGTCACGTGTATTGAATGTTGCAAACACGTGGTTGGGTGGTACCATAGATAGCTAGTATTGATGGTTGTTAAATATCTGTGCGTATCTTATGTATGTGTAGTGGATATCTATGGGTGTTACAATTTCAAGACCAAGGTGGGATAACGGCCCCATGGAATACCTCACTTTGGTTTCTCCGCCACATTCTTTATGGAAATAGCATTTTCATAGGCATATCTACCATGCATTGTTAAAAAAAGCGTTCCACATTTGTATGTGGTTTTGATCTGAAATAGCCGTTTTGAAGATCATTCGGTGCAGTTCACAGCCCTGCCCTTCTTGAGACCTAAACGCCTCTAGTTTCTGAGCTAAACGCCCGCGAAAATGTGCGGACTATTTCGGGAGGATATTTCAGGTGTACGCAGACATCCATGACGTCATATTAACGTCAGTCAAACCCTGTCATTCTAGTAGCCATGCGGTGATCAAATACAAGAACAAAATGAATGTCGTGTCGTTCACATCTGGCGTTCGTTAGCACGACTTCCAGATATGACGGTCGTCTTGAGGAGCATATTTACTTGACAGAAAATTTGCGTTGTCTAAGGCAGTCTTTTCCACGTAGACTATACCAACAGTTATATGAGGTTATTTCATCATATCTGATGTGAATCATATCAAGATATGATTTCGTCATATCTTGCTTCAATATCTTAAAATGCTTAACGTTCTCTTGAAGTAAAACGGAACTTACCAGTGACATGCAACATGACTTTTGATGAGAGGCAACTTGAACTTCATTGCGCTTTTATGAACCAAACTTAAAAAACCTGCTATGAGACCGAAGAGTTTGAAAACCGTGCCAACAAATGTATCTGAAACACTGTAGCTGCTTGTTAGTTGTTAAACAACGGAAATGTCCGGCCCAATAGCTCAGTTGGTAGGGGCGCCTGCCTTCGATTCACCTACCCGTGGCGTGGTGAGTTCAAGTCGCATCAGACGCTCGCTAGTTGTGCTTGACGAGTATGGCCTGTGGCCGGTGGTAGTGGTCTCGCTAAAGGTCAAGTGTTGTCAGAGGCCAGGTCTGACCGTGCCGAGTATTGCGGTACGTTAAACTTTCGCCACCAAATCCTGCCGTTGAGCTGTAATTTTGCGATGGAAAGGCAAGAATCAGACTCACACAACAAGCACTGCTTAGCGGAAGCTCTCACCTGACCAATCCACTCTTTTAAAAGGTTCCGAGTAAGTCTTTAAAAAAAATTTGCCAGTCTGGGAACTAGTAGCCTGTGCGAAAAAGACGATTGTACACCACTGTACCGGACTCTGCTACGGTATTGTCCATTTGACGTGGCTGTGACTCATATCGAGAATGAACTCGACAGTCAGTCGACTGACGCGTGACTTACCCAGGCCACACATGGGGCCGACCCAGCCCACACGTGGAGCCGACCCAGTCCACACGTGGGGCCGACCCAGCCCACACGTGGGGCCGACCTAGCCCATACGTGGGGCCGACCCAGCTTACATGTGGGGCCTACCCAGTCCACACGTGGGGCCGACCCATCCCACACATAGGGCCGGCCCAGCCTGTGCGTGGGACTAGCACAGTCCTCATCAACGCTGTCCACATGTGGGAGCCCGAGCTGCCCAAGTCCCGACAATGACGCCAATGGAGTCCAAGCGTGGGGCCGTTTCAAACCCATCGTGGATTCACCAGAGCCCACATGTTGGCGCGCTTCTCCCCCCGAACAGGTTCGGCGGTCGGTGAGCCGCCAGCCTCCCGTCAGCCGAGCGCATTCATCAAGAGGCCAGTGACTCCGGGCTGGGCGGGCCGGCCGCCGGGCGGTGACGTCCTACTGCTGGTACGGGAGGCCCGGCCACGCGTGCCCGGTGACTACTGAAGCTGACCTTGGCCCGAAAGGGCAGCAGGTGGCGTCGGCCCATCACCGACGTAGGCCGGCCGTGCCGACAGTGTAGGACCAGCGAATTGCCATTATTACCGCTGCCTAGGGTCGGCTGTGGTCCGCTGCGATGGTTGATGCAATCGCCTTTTGTGTCTCCAAATGGTGCGATACATGATCCATTGGTGTCCCTAGCCAGCTGTCGGTTCCATACTTAATCCGATACGCTGACGCTCCTCCGGCTGGCATCCGGCCTGACCCGGCCCAGCGCCGACGCAGCCTTCCTGCCTGGTCTGCAGCTCGTGACCGTCCCGCGTCTCGCGTGGCCGGGCCGGTGTTGTCTGACCGCTGGCGGCCGCGCGTTGAACTCTCCCGGCCTGGTCTGGGCGGCCGCGAACCGCGCCGCCGGCTGAGCCGGACCTGCGGTACCGCGCGCCATAACACGCCGCCGCGCCCCCCCCCCCCCCCCCTCCACGCTGGCCCGGCGACGAGACCGCGCCGCCGGCGCCGCTGCCGGCGGTGCGAGAAATGCGCCGAGGCCGGCCACCTCCAGCCGCGACGCAGGCAGCCTCACACAGCAGGAGTCAGCGAAACGCCTGGGTCTATCTTGCGCGTCGGAGATTTGAGGGATTCATGATAATTCTGCGCAGCAAACCGGCAGCGTTTTTGTACACGTCGGTGAGCAGGACTGGGCAAGCGAAGCTGTCGTTTCAGCCGGCAGTTGGCACCGGACGCCCTCCTATGCGCTCACCTGGTCTGCGCTCGCTCCCCATCCAACAGACTATCCAGCCAGCTGGGAGACATGACCACACAGACAGCCAGCAAGGATACATGGCCACACGGACAGCCAAACGCCCTAGGGTCAGCTTTTGTGGTGGCTGCCAATGAAGCGGGCCGATTGGAAGGCTCACTCGCTCTCACTGGCTGGCGCCGAAGGCTCTGCAGAGACAAGCGAAAAGGCACAGGCAAATAAGCAAATCTGCAAACGTCATCTTCGGCTCAAAAAACCTCGTCAACGTCAAACTTTCAGACGTCTTTAAAATTCCGATCGAGCAAATGTTCGAGGGCTTATCCTGACAGGGCCTGTCATATATCAATCTGTTGAGATGATTCTGAGGTTTCTAAGACATTCTTAAATATCAATACCAAGGTAAGACAGCAGTAAGAGCCTTATCTTCGAAGAAAAACCAGGAGAATAAAGCTATAGATGGTTGATATTTGTTTGAAAGAAGCGAAATGGATGATGCCTGTTTACTTGAATTCGCCCACATGTACTCGCCTTTTTTGCGTATTCCAGACCTGGATTAGATATCCACGGCATCGTGGTAATGGCTGCCAATTGCTCCTTGTTTAATCCCCTGAATGTTGGTGACCTGCAAAAGCTGTGACTCGCTGTTTAAAAAAGCTGAAACATCGAGCAGATTATCGGCAGGCAATTTTGAAAATACTATTGGTATTCGTTTTGACAAAGGCATGTTGCCGAAATATCAACTCATCTATATCTCCATTCTCCTGTTTTTTTTTCTACGGGTAATGAGGCTAAATACTACCGTCTAATCTATATGCATAATGCTTCTTGCAACACCTTGAGACCAAAGTAAAATTGTGGCCTAAATTTCAGGTAAATTGAGTATGCATGATGGAGCCAAAAACGCGCGGACAACAATATGTAGGTGCTGCTTTCGGTCCTACGTGTGTTCAGACTAGGGGCTCGATGCTGGTTCTGCCTGCTGTGACCAACGAGTAGCTATTCCCGCCACGTATGGATTAAACATGTTTACAATCATTAAAAAATGGAATCGCAGAAATTATCTCGAGCCGAGGTCTAATGGTATGAGGTGATTTAAAATGAAATGGATAAAATTGCATGTACGTCATCGCGAGTGTCACTAGGGCATGCATAATACCAGGTATAGATAAGAAGATGCACACCATTTAGTTTTCTGCCATGCCGATGAGCTTCGAGCGCTCAAGCCTTATAAAATCTGATCTCAAATCCTGATGAAAAGCTGTCGCAGCCCGTCCCAAAAGGTCATGCATTTTTCAAGCGAGTTTTAGCTTGCTGGATGGTACACTAGGAGGATTTTGGCAGCAGAACCGGTCCAGGGGCAAGTCGATCCGGAAGCACGAACCCGCAGCCCCACAAGTGTCACCTTGAACTTGGGTTATAGCCGCCCAGCCAGTCTGGGGCTAAAGCCAGCTGTGAACGACCTCGGCCAACGCCAGTCCAAGTCAGCGACGTAATCCTTGACATATCAAACATTCCGAGGGCGACCCCTGCGATCCGTTCAGCGGTCTGGCTCGCGACAAGTGCCGAGGAGAGGATTCCAGAGCTCGCAAACACGCGCTGCCTCCGCACCAGTCTAAGTGCTGTCTGCACGCACTTGGGCAGCACCATGTGATTAGCCTTCGAGCTGGGGGAGATTGGCCACCAATTGGCCGGCAGGAGGCTGACGTGGAATCTCAGCGCAAGATGGATGCGGGCGGACTGGCGACTGGGTGAGCGCCAGTGTCGGTGACCTGAGCGGCGTGTCAGCCCGGCAGGAGGTGGCCCCCGTTCACTCACCCTGTCCGCGCGACGGCTGGCCGGCGTCGCCGATGCAGGCGGATCCAGGAGTCGCGCGGCCAGACGTCGGGAATGCTTTCTCCGAGCTTTGCGCCATCATAGACATTTCGAAAGGCGCCATCCCACTTTCTCGTTCACGACGGGTTATTCTATTAGCTCCAGTCGTAAAAAGCATACCCATCAGCCTTCGGGCACGATTGTTAAGCGGACTGATAGCATAAACTAGGTTTGGCGGTAAGCACTGGAGATGGTAGCAAGCAGCATACCTGTGCGGTGAGATCAGACGGTCCTGCAGACCAGCGTATGAGGAACGGCTGCTGGCGCCGCACGCGCACCAACACCTCACCCTCCTGCCGCGCAGATATGGAGGACGAGTGCTTCCCGGCCATCTCCATGTCGAAGGCGACCGGCGGCAGCGACGGCGACGACGGCGAGGAGGGCGACGGCGGCGAACGGGGTACCGTCGGGCGGGCGGCGCCCAGCAGCCCGGTGCCGGGTCAGGTGGCTCCGCGCCGCCTGCTGCTGGCCCAGCAGCCGCGCCCGCCCGTCCAGCAGCCGCTGCAACTGCTGCGCACCCAGCGGCCCGGCCAGGCTGGCCAGGTCAAGGTGAGGTCTGGTCGCCGGCCGCCGCTGCGGCGCCGGGTGCTGACGGAGCGCCGCTGCGGCGCCGGCGGACGGGTGGCCAGGACGCCGACCCCAGCAGAGCGGACACTGACCCCGTGGCATTGAACATCGACGCCGTGATAAAGCACATGGCGCCAGCTGTACCTGGGCGTCAGAAATCGAGCCCGTGTGCGCTGGACACGCAGCAGGTGGCTTTCGTGTGTTGTGTTCTTGCAAGTTTGCAGTGTCGCAGTTTATTTGTGAAACGTTTGCACCGCGTAAGCAACTCCTGTCAGGCCTCTCTCGCCCTCGCTCTCAGCAACTCTATTCTGTAACTCAATAGAGTGACACGGGGAGATATAGAAGAGCTGGAGCATAAACCGCTATGATCCGTCTATAGGTAAACATGATTACGACATAATGAATTGCTGCAGCATTGATTTTTGCTACCAGGCGTGGTTGTCAGAAGTTGACATTAGCAGACAGACTTTCGGTAAAATGTGGTGGCTCACCGACTTTTGATGGTTCTAAATGACGCTGGCCCGTCTCGTCTGAGACAAACTTGCCTTGCCGATCCCTACGCTGACGCCATTGACCCCTGACCGGGGACCTCAGGTGACCTCCGGTCCCTCGATGCTGCGGCCACAGACGATCGTGTTGACAACCTCACGACCATCGCTGCTGGGGCGTGGCTCGGCCAGCACCACCTACCCCCGGCTCAGCGTCAAACTGGAGCCGACATCCAGCGCAGGTGAGCGCCGCCACTGACCTCCAGATAGGCTGCTAGCACTCGCCGCTCCTACAGCGCAGGTGAGCGCCGCCACCTACCTCCAGATAGGCTACTAGCACTCGCCGCTCCCACAGCGCAAGTGAGCGCCGCTCACCATGGCCTGCGGGCCTGATGTGGTTTAGGCAATGGCACTGCATCTCCAAGATGAAAAGTTGTAAAAAAGCCATAGAGGCAACCATAAACCTGTAAAAAAGTGGCCGATAGGAAAGTTGTGGATTCACAATAGTTCGCAAACCAGCTTCAACATTACAGATATGATTTTAAAAAAAATTTCGTCACTTAACATTCAAAATTACCCCCAATCATAACCACTTTTCTTCAGTGCATCATTGGTACATTCACTGTTCATCGCTGCGTTAATAGGTAGCATGCACGAGAAGTGGCTGGTCACAGTCACCAACAGTTTCCCCGCTGAGTGGTTGGTCAGTCGTCAAAAGTCTCCCCTCTGAGTGGCTGGTCATAGTCACCAAGAGTCTCCCCGCCGAGTGGTTGGTCACAGTACAGGAGTGACCCCTCAAAGTGGCGGGGGGGGGATCCTGATCCTGGGTGACCAGCGGTGGTGAACCCACTGAACGGCTGGTCACAGTGACCAGGAGTGACCCTGGCTGAGTGGCGGTGATATGCCATGACAGCCAACTGCCTCGTGTGGGTACTGGCGACAACAGGCAGAGACGCTGTGTGCCTCCATGTCGGCACACTCTATGGTGCGTGTGCGTGTGCATGTGCGTGTCGCGAGCTGGTGTTCCCTGAGAGCGTACGTGAACGCTGCAGCCGTGGACCGGGGCCTGAGGTCGGCCTGACGTCCGTTCCCAGCGTTCCTGCTGCCGCCGACGCCTCCGTCCTCGTCGGACTCTGAGGGCGGCAGCTCACCGCCGCACGCCGGCGCCCGACTCTCGCCGGCCGGCCCGGTGGCGCCGGGCGCGCCCCGCGTGCTGGTCACCACAGGCCGGCCGTCTGTGCGACACATCAGCTCGGCGCTCATCTCCACCACGCCGGTAAGACGCCGCGCGCCGCCCGACCACTCCCGGCTGGCCGGCACGCACACACTCCCAGATGAATGCGTGAGTGCCTGTGTGCTTGCGGGCGTGAGTGCGTGCATGCGTGCGCACATGCGGACATATGTGCGTGCGTGCGTGTATGCGTTCGTGCGCGCATGGATGCGCGCATGATGCTTTCGTTGCGCCTGCAACGCAACCGTTGAATCATTATTATACAAAGATTATTCAAGCATTATTGCAGTCATTACCATCATCTTGACGATGATCGTCAAACGAAACGTCCGGCGATTTAACACGCGCTCGGGTGGGGGAGCCAATTTGACCCCCGCGAAGGCTTTTCTGGAATGGTTTCCGAACAGCCCGGCGATAACACGCCAGATTTTGCATAGCTGAAGACAACTGAATAGCGGATCGCTCAGTGTCAAACATTTGGGTGAACTTTGTAAGGTCGCTGACCTATGGCAGACCAAATTCAGGCCATGGATTCAGCGAAGCCAATTTCTAGGGAATCGTTCAATGTGATGCAACAGCGGAGTGTTAGAGGAAGCCATACATCTCTGAAATGCATTCCCAGGCAACACAACGATTAAGTGAACAAATTTCATTGACCTAGAGTCAGGTGTAAGGGTAATACTAAGGTCAAAACCAACGCGTTTTATTACTTGCTTACTTACTTGATGCCATACTTAAGGCCACAATAGGTCACTGAACTAAAATGACGCTGCTCAACATTTATTTTATGAACGTACTGCCTAGCGTAATCTTGTTGTGTATTTAAATGAAAAACTCAAAGCAGTCCCGTAGGATTTTGGTCACCATTACCTTCAAAAGGTCAAACGAGGTTACTGATCTTGAATGGGTATGAAACCGTCTACTTAGAACAGGTGTCTACGTTCGAAGGCACTTTGGACACCAATCGGTAGTTTGACGTCGTTCGACCTTATTTGACCCAAAGATCATGACCTGGGAACATCAAACTTTGACCCAATTAAGCTCACGTACAGGTTAACACACTCTGTACATTTGTTGCCTTTACTCGCCTATTTCTGAAATATCAGGGTGTTCGTAGACGATACCCACCGCACCATCTATAGTGGTATGAAAGTGACACCTGTGTCCTCACAAAACGTATTAAACGTAAACATATCTTACGTAAGCATCTCTCGACGAGTGAGCAGGCGGGCTCGGCACGCAGCTGACTGGCCGCCGGCGCCGTTGCAGCGGGGGGCGCACGGCACGCTGTACCTGACGGAGGAGGAGAAGCGCACGCTCATCTCAGAGGGATACGCTATCCCCAGCCGGTTGCCGCTGTCCAAAGCCGAGGAGCGGTCACTGAAGAAAATACGACGGAAGATCAAGAACAAGGTAAGCACGAGGACGGCAAGGAGTCAACATCAGGCGTTGCTCAGGTCGAATGGATGAAGTTTGGGAAATGTGGCATTTTGCTGACCTTGAGCTGCACTGCCCCGTTCACTGTCGGGGAGAATAGGATGGTTTGCGGATGCAATTTTTAACCGTGGAGCTGCTGCACGTGCTTCGTTAATTTTTCACATTGTATGCTGTTCAATGCGATGCATCATAGGTGTCAGAACAAGCAGCAAATCGTGGTACAGTGGTGCGATGACGTCACAATATTCATCTTTTAATAATAGGTCCCCTTTGACCCCGTCACGGTCCAGCGTCCGTAATGTGGCTGGATCCCAGCACAGCCTCCTCCCTGCACTCGTGTAGATCTCAGCAAGCATATCGCAGCACATTCTTCACTCTGATCCCGGTGGGTCTAAGCGATCTGTCCTTACCCTACCCCTGGATAGATCTCACCACCGTCACCATTCTCAGTTCCACTCCGACACATCTCAGCGGACTTATCCTCATCACAGGCAACACAAACCCAGGCTGATCTACGGGGCCTCGCCCCTGATAACCGACACATTTCATCGGTCATACCCTCATCAGTCTCTTCACGCATCCCAGGCCGATCCAAGCATAGCCTCGTCTCTTGTCTCCGACAGCTCAGATCCGATCACAACTTCCCCACCGTCACCGAAACCAACTCAACGCAGCGTGTTCCCCGCTTTCTGGCAGATCTCGGCGCAGGAAAGCCGGCGGAAGAAGAAGGAGTACATGGATCAGATGGAGCGGCGGCTGGACCAGATGGCCGCCGACAACGACGAGTACCGCCAGCGGGTGGCCGAACTGGAGGCGCGGCGCGCCCGACTGGACGCCACCAACACCCGACTGGAGCAGCGCAACACGGAGCTGTGCCGCCAGCTGGAGCAGCTGCGCGCCGTCCTGGGAGCCGCCTGTCCCTCGGTGAGACGCCGTCCTGGGAACGGCCTGTCCTTCGGTGAGACGCCATCCTGGGAACGGCCTGTCCCTCGGTGAGACGCCATCCTGGGAACTGCCTGTCCCTCGGTGAGACGCCGTCCTGGGAACGGCCTGTCCTTCGGTGAGACGCCATCCTGGGAACGGCCTGTCCCTCGGTGAGACGCCGTCCTGGGAACGGCCTGTCCCTCGGTGAGACGCCGTCCTGGGAGCCGCCTGTCCCTCGGTGAGACGCCGTCCTGGGAGCCGCCTGTCCTTCGGTGAGACGCCGTCCTGGAAGCCGCCTGTCCCGCGGTGAGGCGCCGTCCTGGGAGCCGCCTGTCCCGCGGTGAGACGCCGTCCTGGGAGCCGCCTGTCCCTCGGTGAGACGCCATCCTGGGAGCCGCCTGTCCCTCGATGAGACGCCATCCTGGGAGTCGCCTGTCCCGCGGTGAGACGCCGTCCTGGGAGCCGCCTGTCCCGCGGTGAGAGGTGATCGCAGGGACAGCGCTGGTGATGAGGGAATGGATGACGGCGGGGACAGCGCTGGTGATGAAGGAATATGACGGCAGGGATAGCGCTGGTGATGAGGGAATACATGACGGCGGGGACAGCGCTGGTGATGAGGGAATACATGACGGCGGGGACAGCCCTGGTGATGAGGGAATGGATGACGGCGGGGACAGGGCGGGTGATGAGGGAATACATGACGGCGGGGACAGCGCTGGTGATGAGGGAATACATGACGGCGATGACAGCGCTGGTGATGCGGGAATGGATGACGGCGGGGACAGCCCTGGTGATGAGGGAATACATGACGGCGGGGACAGCGCTGGTGATGAGAGAATGGTTGACGGCAGGGGACAGCGCTGGTGATGAGAGAATGGTTGACGGCAGATGCTGGACATTGTTTGGCGACGAGAGAAGTTTTGGCAGATGAAGCGATCCCCTCAGATGGAGCGAACGAACTCGGATTCTATAGCTTTGTGTCTGACGTATCCGGACTATGGGCTGATGTGCTGACCTCGCATTGTCCCGACTGTGAGCCATGATTTGCAAGCCCGCGTGACAAGACACTGCCAGTCACATGTGACACGTGTACCGCCACACGGTGACGCAGAGCCGCTCCATTGATCGGAACATGGCGGCAACGCCGCTTCCGGGTCGCCAGTCACGCGCATCAGATGGACTTCAGCTCTACGGTTGACGGGACCTGCAAACAGGCCCAAACACATAGGGAAATTATAAATTTGGCTAATCGGAAGTGGATTCATTGATTTACACTATTCACATACCTGCACGGCATACCAGCATCTTTGCTGTTCGGGAGATCCCGTTCGCAATCTAATTTTTAGTGTGTTCTAGCACCGAGTTTGCGGAGGAGAGGCATCATCGTAGAACTTGCCCTGCTCGTAGCCTTATGGTAGTGCCCTTGGTACCCCGCTCTGCGGTAGTGCCCTGGATACCCCGCCCTGCGGTAGTGCCCTGGACACCCCGCCCTGTGGTAGTGCCCTAGGCGCCCTTCCCCGCGGATTTGCACGATTCTGAAGCCTAAGTTATCTGCTGTCTGTTATCGCACCGATACCGTTGTTGCCTCAGAGACTCAGACGACATTTTTGTGAGTTCAGAAGGTGTCTGGCCACCCTGTCGACACGCGGGCACGTTGGCATGTCGACATATGCCATTCTCGACAAAAACCTGTCATAACAACATACGGTCCCTTTTCACAGACGCACAGCAGTCGACCTCGGTCCCCTGAAAAATGTGAATGTTTGTTGCAGACTGTTGCGGATAAATAAAGCTGTTTGAGGCCGGAATGACAAGCGTTGTAGCTGCACTGTTGACACAGACGTTTTGCTTTCCAGATGCAGGATGAGGCGCCCTTAGCAGAAGCAAAATAGTTCTCGTCCATCACTACATTAGGTAACGGGAAACGTTAGAAGGGCATGCAACTAAGCTATGTTGTAATTTAAAAAAAAAGAATTGAACAAAATGTGACTGATTGGCACCAGCTGCTTGGTTCCGTCCATTTATTTCAAACGTTCGTTAACGAACAGAATTGAGAAAAGAATCGCCGAAAGTCAGGCTCGGAGAGTCTAGCAGAACTGGAATTCAGATGACTCGTCTGACATGCGTCATCCGCCGGCAGCAAATGCGGGGAGCAGCTGAATTCGTCGTCCATCTAGTCTTCCATCCTCATTGACTACGTGCTCGGCTAACACCGGCGCCGCCGCAAACGCCGCGATGGGAGCGTCACCTATTCAGCTTCACTGCGACTCGGGCGCCATCTGCCCAGAAGAGGACGACCTCTGTACAAAGCTGCTGTCAGCTCCACCCCAGCCGTGGAGGAGCGCGTTTGACCACTGCATGAGCGAAAAGTTACGAGTGCTGCTAAACTGGTTTGTGCGTCTTTAGTTAGCAACTGGAGAAATCTTGGTCTACGCTTCACGAAGATGTGATGCATATTTCCAAAAATGATGTGCCGGATGACACTGTTCACGTTGCTGTTGAGAAGATATCAGCCGTTGAAGTTCATATACCACCCACAGTGCCTATACCGTGGTCGTGAAAAGTTTATATTTATCGTTACTGTCGTGACATATTTTATAGATTGGACTGTTCTGCACAAACACCAGGTAATAGTTAAGAATGGAAGCAGGTCAATTTGCAAGCGACACCACAGACAAGATACCAATGTTAATGAACATGACAATGAGCATCACAAACATCCTTTCAACATCTCACAAAGTATCGCCAGGAAAATGCTTGGAATATTTCGTGTGCATTGCCCATATAATTGGTGCCAAAGCGTTTGTCACGCTCCTGAATGTGGGTACAAGCATTTCCCTTACGTAACATTCCACATGCTCTATTGGCAGTAGACCAATTCATCACCCCACGCTGAGCAATCACCTTTGTTTGGCTGGCACTGAATCCCCTTCGTTCTAAGCTCGTTCGTGGTAATGCATGTTGCCTTAAAGACGTCTGGTTTGCCGTCCGTTGGCTGCTGTGCTTGTCCCTCGTCTCTGTGCGGTGGTGTTTGGGTTGGCTGCGCCCTGTGATGCACCCTGCTCACGCCGGCCTTCATTGCCTTCGAAGCATCATCAAATTACCATTGTAGTATACGTGCAGGTCGTGGCTCCCAGTGAAAGCGGCAGTGCGCCCACTCTAAGCGACATTGCAAGCCGTTTTGATGGTTTGTTAAATATAAACTAGCTTTTCTTACATAATTAGTTGGGTCGTGCCGGATATGCCAGACTAGAACATTCCAGTGTTTCGTGAAAGAACCAGATCAAGTGCCTTCAAATATTAAGAAACGCTGTTCCACGTTTGGGAGGCATGTTAATCGTTTCAGCCTTTGCATGACCTTGAAGTGTTTTGAAGATGACCTGCGATTGACGATAATATCGACCTGCACTGCTACCACATGTTTCAATTGACTGGGTTGCAGCCAGTATCGTGTGCCGTGCAATACATACAAAACGAATCTCTTGTCTTGATCGTGCCCTATATGAATGTCTGGGTTCGTTTCCTGGTTACTCAACGCGTGTTTCTTTCGTCAGCGCCGCGTGCAACGGATCAGGATCACACCTCCGTTAGCTGAACAGACAAACAAGTGCGCGTGTTGATGTGTAGGTGGAGACCAGCGGGTCTGGCTTGGGAGATTGAGACATCTTCAGGTGGCAGCACGTGTTTAAGGAGGGACACATTATGCGACACAAGGCAGCAAAAGAACTTGAAGGTCATCCTGGGTCTGGTCTTGACGCCATAAGCTTAGGAAGTGGATCGGTGTTTGCCATCTGCAATGTCATGTTGCTACCACGCGATGCCACAGGATCGGGAGGCAGCGTCAGGTCGACGCAAGGTCGGTCAGAGATTCAAGCGACATGCATCACCACCACTTCATCTTCACAAAGCCGCTCGGTTCGTGTGTTCATGCTCTGAGCTCTCCTGTACTACGTGTGAAGGCAACATGCACATCAACAACGAAACCTTCCTGATATAGCTGACTTTATCCTTACCCTAGTCTTGCTGTGCATTTTATGGACTTATGTCACGCCTCCCAGCATCATAGCAAGATAGAAAAACACAATCTCGTGAAATCTGCGACATCTGGGAGAGAGTCGGGCTTAACGGCCTACCGGCTTTGTCCATCACAGTTCTTGGCATATGTTTGTGACACCCACATAGTTACTATACGCGCTGCAGTTGCATTTTTTCTCACATATGCGTACTCGTCCGCCCTTGACACGCTGACATCGCTTCACAGCTCCACAACTTTTCACTACGGGCTGATTCCCGGTATAAGTGGCCTGTTCCTCAGCTCCTGTATGGCGATGCGCCGGCTCCTTTATGATTACCACCGCTTACTTAACGGCGGGCGAGAGCCTCTTTTTATTTTACTTCAGCTTCGGATTGAATGTCTACTCCGTGATCAAATCAGCTGCATTTATGAGACCCGGCGGATGCCCGGTGAAGTACGGAGTAGCTTCTTACTTCGAATGGCCTCGTACGTGGTGGAATTTTACGGGAGAATAAGTACGAAGTTATCATTTTCCTCATGCAACCGGATTCGAAGAAAAGGCTTGGAAAGTTGCTCCCTGCGCCACGATTGTACGTCATTTGCTCTTCACGAAATTGGTTACGGGACGAATCTTGGTGGCAAATTTAAGGTGGTGGCCGGTGGAACCATTGTCTGGCTGTGCATGTATGTGTACCAAGCCACAGCTGAACATGTGTATTGGCTTTGCAAATGATGGGTGGTTGCCTACGTAGCTGTCTAACACACTGCCATCGAGGCAAAGTAGAACGGGTAGGCTGTGATGTAGAGAATGCGCCCTACAGCCCAAATCACCATCATCACAAGCAGATTCATCAATCCTCCTCTTCTGATGTGTATGAAATTTATGATGCTCCTCTGGTGCAAATTTACCACTTTTGTTGGGGTTAGTTTTTCAAAAAGCCCATCTTATCCCCAGTCCGCCAAAAAATTCATCCACTTTGCCAGAAGGTCCCAAACATTGCTACACTGAATCTCGTGATTGAGTGGGTCGGGCAATTGAGTGGGCAAAAATAATATCCACCCAACATCAGGGCCCACCGAATCACACGAGGTCAAGTCAACAACGGAAGCGGCTTCATGTCATCAATCAGCCACATCAGCGGCTTATGATCTGTCCGCACCGAAAACGGCCGGCCGGCCAGACAGTAATGAAACGTTCTAGCTTCTGCAATCTCTGCTAAGCTTTCTCTATCGGCTCGAGAATGGCGCTTCTCGGTTTAATCCAGCAACGCGAGTGCGAAGCCGCCGGCCACTCCCCCTGCCTCGTCAGCTGGCTGAGAGCACAGCCCAGCCCGACTAAGGTCACAGGCCGAAATCACTGGCAGCTTCAGATCAAAATGACCCAGGATGGGAGGATTCTTGAGAAACCGCTTGGCGTTCTCAAAGGCTCTCCGCTCCACGGCCGTCCACTGCCTTGGCTGATTTGTCCAGAGCAAAACGTGCAACGGTGAGAGCGTGGTCGCCAAACTGTTGAAAAAATTGTCATGACAGTTCATTAGCCCCATCATTAGTTCATAGCAACGAAGTGCGATGATATCTCGTGGTTCTGGCGCACCCCTTATGGCCACAGCCCTATCATCCTTGGGTCTGCACACCTTTCCCACAGACAGCTTGATCCAAGTACGTCACACTTTCCATCCGAAAGTAACATTTTCCTCAGTTTGCCTGAAGACATGCATCACTCAGCCGATGCAGAACCTGACGTAACGTCACATCGTGACTTTCCAGCTTCTTGCCGGCTGCGACCACGACATCCAAGAACACACAGACACCAGGCATGCCTGCTAGCAGCGTGTCCATGGTTCTCTGAAACAGAGACGGTGCCAAGGCGCACCTGAAACTAAAGCGTGTGGCTCGCAGCAGCACTTTCCACGTGTTCACGGTTGAGTACCTACGCGGGTTTTCATCCTAAACCACCTGATTGTAAGTGAACTTTAAGTCGGTCTTAGTGAGCACTGTGTTACCCGCTACCCCGGACAGTAGCTCCACGACACACGGTAACGGATACTGCTCGATTTTAGCGGCCTCGTTCACCGTGAGCCTGAGGTTCCCACACAAACATATTTTGCCCTCGGGTTTCATTATGACATTGAAGAACATCGTTTTGATGTCCGGGTCCACAGAGACGTTTATCTCTACTCGCTGGCAACAGCCTAAACCCTCGCTGGAAACTTCTGGAAACTACATCAAGGCGCTCTCGGTCTGACAGTCGCTTGTCACACGACATATGGACGGCCAATCCGGCCCCAGATGTGGCAGTCAGTAACGTCCAAACAGGAACTGATCCTGACGCTTGACCACAGTCAACGGCAGCTGTGCGCGCTGCTCCCTATAACTGACATCCACCATCACCTGGCCATACAACAACATTTCCCGCTATACGCTTTAAGAGTTTTGTCACATGGCTTAACGTCCGGCCCATTCTCCGGCCACTCGCGCTCCCCACGTAAACCATCAGAGGCGGTTTACGATCATCATCCGCTCGGACTGACAGGGCTTGAAACGGGAAACACGGATCGCTCTCATCACCATGATCCCCGCACCGCCGGCGACGTGTCCCCGACTCAGACAGCGAACACAGGCGTCCGGTGGCGGCGGTTCCCGCTGGGCACCCTCGAACGGAGCGGACAGGCCGTCGAGACGTGCCGCCGACTCAGGCAGCGGCCGCAGGCGTCCAGCGGCGGCGGCCCCCGCTCGGCACCCTCGAACGGAACGGACAGGCCGTCGAGACGTGCCGCCGACTCAGACAGCGGCCGCAGGCGTCCAGCGGCGGCGGCCCCCGCTCGGCACCCTCGCGCGAGTAGGTCAGTCGATCCTCGGCGGTCCGGCCCTGCCACAGACCGGAATGGGACTGGAATGGAATGGGACTGAATGGGACCGGAATGGGACAAACAGATCCGACATGGAATTACAACCGACCGGCCCTCGGCGGTCGGTTGTAGGCCCATCAGTGCTTGCTGACGGCAGTTCTCCAGTGCTTGCTGTCCTCTCCGTCCGGCTCCCTCCACCCGCTTGATGAAGTCAGCAGGCTCCACCCGGCCTCTGATCTCAGCGGCGCTGGCAACTGCTGCCTCATGGCCTGGGTGATCTCCACCGCAGTCACCAGGGTCAGCCGCGGCTGGTCCAGCAGCCTCGACTGCAGCCGCTGGTGCTGGATCCCGCACACCGCGTGGTCAAGGAGCATGTAATCCAGCACAGTCGAGTCAACCTTGCAAGGTTCGCCGGCTTGCGCGATGCTGCCAGGCAAGTGACAGATTCACTGGCATTACATAGGCAGGAACAGAACCGGAATCTTGACACAACTGTTGGCTGTTCTGGTGCAAAATGGTGGCTAAAAATATTAACAAGATTTTGTAGGACTTCTGTCCTACCGCTACAGGGGTTATCAGATCTTCCAGCAACCGAAAATGCTTGCGCCAACCACACTCTGAAATATGGCTCGTCGTCTCGCAATATCGCCCTCCTTAACGCCATAAGCCTCGAAATATTGCTCGAGACGCCTGCTGCACGCACCAAATGACTTCACCACTGAGTTAAAGTAGGACACTTTACCCACAGACGCCATCACACGCAGTTCACTGACCTCGTCGCCAATGAAGTGAACACGCAGGCGACCCGTTCTGAACTATCTATTGGGTCCGGCGGCCGGCCCGGCCTCGCCTCTCATAAGCCGCGGCAGGGATGGCCGGCCGAGGTCGGCCGAGCAGAAGCGGTGCCAGGCACCGCGCTATCACAATGTGCTCGGATGTTTTCCACACACGGTGCCAAATGTAGCTCTCTGCAGGCGCTGTTATTAGACAGCATAATGCAGTATAATGGCACCCTGGCCCATCTCAAAGGCGCCGTACGATAAAGAGAAGAACGCACTGTAATGATGCCCAGACTGGACGCATTTCTTTGCCAACATGAAATACGTAAATTTCTGGCCTATTCTCACCACAAAGTGAACTTAAATTCCCTGGACTTATATGCCGTTAAGCTCTTCCTTTACTTATCAAAGGATTCGTTGTTGTCCGTGCGCTCTTTTGTACGGTATCCTGAAAACAAATATGCGTTGTGAGAGCAAGTGAAATTTATATGAACCGAATGGATCTTTGAGCTAAACTCAGGCCTCGCAAATGGACAACGTTGTGCTACAAAAATATGAGAGCATATTGATGCGCCATGATAGTCTAGAGCATCTGGAATAAGGACAACATGAGTTAATGTACTTCATACCAGCTAATGCCAAATGATTGTTTACCCGAAGCGAAAAACAAAACTTGTTTTTAATACTTGCACAAAGGCAATCTGGGCGCTTTCGGCGTTAAGTCCAAGGCGACCACCCAAGATCTCTTCGTTATCTCATGAGCCAGACGAATACAACACAACAAGAGGCATGCGTTCAAGTGGTGCTGTTGGCATGACGCTTTTACGACAGTTGCTGTTATTCAAAACAGTTGTTCGTTGAGACACTGCACATGCTTTTACGATTCGGTCCTCGTGCGGCGCCAAAACCGGCGCCACACCAGGGCCCAAGGGCATTTTTCTCCATACAGCGTCAAATAATCCAGTTGAGCGTCAAAAAATCAACAACTACCGGCACCAATATCATTCCCGCTGGTCAATCCCAGGCAGCTAGGACTCCCTGGTTTATCTTGAGATATTTCGTTAG